CATGATTCTCTCCGCCTCGCGCGGTGAGGGCCGCACCGGACCCGGGGGGAATATGGGGCCGGGGAAGACCATCGGGAGGGGAAAGGGGGGTCAGGAGGAAACCATCGGCCCGGGGAGGGGGGAGAACATCGGCCCGGTGGAGGAGACGAGCAGGGAGAGGCCATAAGTCGAGGTGGGGGCGACTGGGGGGCAGGGGGAGACCATGAGCCCGGAGGGAAGAGGGACAGGGAAGGCTATGGGGCTCGGGAGGAGAGGAGGAGAAAGGGGAGACCATGAACCTGGAGAGGAGGAGGGCAGGGAAGGCTGTGGGGCTCGGGAGGAGAGGAGGAGGAAGGGGAGACCGTGAACCTGGAGAGGAGGAGGGCAGGGAAGGCTGGGGGGCTCGGGAGGAGAGGAGGAGGAAGGGGAGACCGTGAACCTGGAGAGGAGGGGGGCAGGGAAGGCTGTGGGGCTCGGGAGGAGAGGAGGAGGAAGGGGAGACCGTGAACCTGGAGAGGAGGGGGCAGGGAAGGCTTGGGAGGAGGGAGGGGAGACCTTAGTCTAGGGGACCCAGGGAGACCATGAGCCCAGAGGGCCAGGGAAAGCTGTGGGGCTCGGGAGGAGAGAAGAAGGAGAGACCATGATCTAGGGGTCCCAGGGAGACCCATCAGGGGGAGAGGGGACAAGAGGAGACCATGAGGCCAGAGGGGAGAAGGACAGGGAAGGCTGTGGGGCTTGGGAGGAGAAAGGGGAGACCATGATCTAGGGGACCCTGCTCGCATGGGTGAGAAGGACAGGCTGGGGAGAGAGCTGTTGTCCCCAAGGTGACACCCCCTGACCATCTCCCTGCCTCCCCCCCTTACAGATAAAACCATCATCATGTGGAAGCTGACTCGCGACGAGACCAACTACGGGATCCCCCAGCGAGCTCTGCGCGGTCACTCGCACTTTGTCAGCGACGTGGTCATCTCCTCCGATGGGCAGTTTGCACTCTCGGGTTCCTGGGACGGCACCCTGCGCCTCTGGGACCTCACCACGTGAGCCGTGGGGACGAGGGTGTTTTGGGGTGGTGGTGGGGGGGGTGTAGCGTGTCTCCCTGCTTCGTTTGGGTGCTGGGAGAAGGGATGAGGTCACCCAACGCACCTTGAAACCGGGATGATTTGTTCTTGGCTTAGAAGAGAAATCCCAGCGGGAGGGTGGGTTGTTTTCTGCGGCCGGTGCCACACTTTTTGGCAGGGGGTGGGAATTGGGGTGTTTTCGCTGCTCTTCCTCCGCTCCCTCTCCCGATGATTAGACCTGATGCAAAATCTGCGGATCCTTCGGGGTCTGAAGACACGTCCTGCAATTATGATGGGAGAGAAGCAGAGGGGGGGGTGGGC